AGCCAGCATGGGTGGCTGGGGAATTCTGGGAGTTGAAGTCCACTCAGCTTAAAGTGGCCAAGTTTGGACAACACTGGCATACGCTATCTGGTGATGTCCACGTATGTAGGTCTTTCTTTGGTTGTTTGAAGAATGTGTCAGCAATGAGGGAATCAATGAATTGGCAGAAACTAATGTCATTCTCCTACTTCATTTAATTTTCCTAGCTCATATAGTCCAACTACATTTTCCTCCTTATTATTTCCAACTTTGGCATTCTACAAACAGCACATTTGCTTGCCTGTTCTTTCAGTTTCAGGTTAGACTTGGCCATATAACTCATCAACCTCCTCTTGTGCCTCAGTGGTTGGAGCATAAACTTGGATAGCCATCATATTAAAAGGTTCTCTGCAAAACCTAACTGAAATTAATCAGTCACTGACTCCATTGTACCTAAGTACTATTCTTACTATATCCTTCTTGACTATGAAAGCAACATGGTTCCTTCTTTGTTTTTCACGTCCTGAATAGTAAACAGCATGATCCTCCAACTGAAGGTGTCCAATTCCAGTCCATTTCAGTTCATTGATGTCTAAGATGACAATGTGTAGTTGATTCATGTCATATTTCACTGTGTTGATCTTTCCCATGTTCATGCCCCTTAGGTCCCAGATTCCCACTGTAATTCTGTCTTTGCAACTTCAGATTTTCTTTTCCTGTATGGCAAAATCAGCAACTGGATGTCCTGAAGGCTTTAATCTAGCTTTAATTATTAACACCAATAGATCTTCAGCTCTTTCTCAGTAGCATGCTGAGTGCTATCCAAACTAGAGGCCCATCATCCAGCACTATATCACCCATCACTTTATATTGCCTATCCATGTGTTTTTCTTGGTGAAGTTCAGGGGTGGCTTCCCATTGCCTTTTCACACACAGTATGAAATGATGCTTACGTGGTTTCCTATATCACCACTCTCTGATAAAGGTCCCTGCTTGATTTAGCTGGGCAGCTGGGATGTTTTTCATGCTGTGGGTGACCCTGTTGGAAGCATATACTCTTGACATACATACATACACACACACAAACCAGCAAACACACACACACCCTGCCACTATGAAGCAGCAGAACAGGAGCTGAGAAGAGATAGATAGATAGATAGATAGATAGATAGATAGATAGATAGATAGATAGATAGATAGATAGATAGATAATCACTACTGTACCTTCCTCATCATTGCATTATGAGAATAAAATCCTTGGTGTACTTAATCAAAGCACATTCTTGTCTTAGTACTTGGGATCTGTCCAGCTCAGGTAATTTCATTTTCTTCTTATCCAAGCACTGTCATCATTTTTCTCTCTCTCTTCCTCCAAACAGATGGCACAGTTGATGAAATGCCAAAAAGGGTTTTGTGACCTGCTGTAAAGAGGCAGACAAAACTGTAGAATTGAAGAAAGGAAGAGGAATGTTGAATGCTGTAGAACCATTGTTTTCCCCTCTCTTTAGATAACTATTACTCACATTGCATTTTTTTTTTTTTTGGAACATTGAGTTCCCATCTTTCTTGAAATAATTTTGAACATTCCAACTACTTTATCTTTATGAATGTGAAGATTTTCAGATGTTATTTAGGTGAGCAGATTTTACCATTTATTCATGCCTCCTGGTTGTTTTTCAAGCCAATTTCAAGACATTTACAATAGCATATAAACCTTACATGGCTAATGGCCAAGCATGGATAGAATGCCCTCCTTGTGTATTTTTAATCTCCATGTTCTTTGCTGTGGGCAATCAATTTTTGTGGCACTTTGCATCTGGGTCATCTGAACAATCACAAAGTTTTTACCAACAGAAAAAAAAAAAAATTCCTCCTGAAAACTGGAAAAAATGTTTTTGACATGGCAGGAAACAAATTAATGAATAGCAATAAAAGGCTATTTCTCTCATATCAGGACAGTATTATTATGGTTGGTTGCATAGTCAGCCAGATGTTTAGACTGGATTTGGCATTTTTATCCACCTATCGAGTCCTTCCCAAGGACCTGCAATAGGCAGATGTTGTTTGATGGTGTTAAAGGACTGGATTTGGCATTTTTATCCACCTATCGAGTCCTTCCCAAGGACCTGCAATAGGCAGATGTTGTTTGATGGTGTTAAAGGACTGGATTTGGCATTTTTATCCACCTATCGAGTCCTTCCCAAGGACCTGCAATAGGCAGATGTTGTTTGATGGTGTTAAAGGTATTATTAATTATTTATTATTATTATTATTATTATTATTATTATTATTATTACTATTATTAATTTATTGGCTGCCCATCTCCAGTGGACTCAGTCCAAGGACCTCATTTAATTTTAAAGATATTGGTTGGCCTTGGGGCTGCTGGGTCTATGACATCATCAAGTAGATAGGGGCAATGGTTTTGGCCTATTTTTTGGTTTGGATGGTTTGGGTAAATTAAAGGTATTTTTTGGAGAAATTAAAGATGGAAATGGCTTTGTTAAGCATAGCCATTTAATTAGTTCTTCAAAAGGAAAAAAGGGGTCACAGAAAATTGGCCATTTTGTGACTGGATTTCAGTGCTGCAATCTTGGGGTGCTCTGGCAACTGCAGATTGGTATCTGGGGAGGGCTACAGATTTCTCACTCGTATATATTAACTTTAAAAAAAAAATGCAGCATTTTTCCTACTTTTCATCCCCCCTGGGAATCAAGGCAGTGCATATGGGGAATGAAAGAAGTACCATACCCTGCACTGAGCGCCTATGGTTCACCAGGTTGCCCTCACTATCTCTTGCTACAATACAAGACTCACACGCTACTCTACCAGAAGTGGGCTCCAATACCATGGAGGGCAACGAAATCTGATTTCTGAAACCATCGCATTCTAGAGACTTCAGAACAATTGTCCATAGAGTGGACACTCTAAGCCAAAAATGCAAGTACTAGCCAATATAGCAGAAAGGAAGCTGGCTTCTTTTATCCGGCATTACACTGCTCTGGAAATAAAGTTTCATTCTGAATGTCTGGATAGCTTCGGAACTTTGACATTTTTTCAAGGATAAAGGTAGACATGGATGGCCACACTGAAGGATGACATTATTATTATATATCCATATTGTCTTCTGAAGAACACTCTGCAAATGCTGGTTGTTGCTATTATTATTGCTACTGTTATTGCTGTTATTAGTGTTGGTGTTGGTGTCATTATTATTATCACAGCTTAGGTTTTTTCTTCCCTCCCCCACCCTGGATACCTTGTTATAAATGAACACAGCTTATGAGTCATCACTGCCCTTTATTTCAGCATCAGCTCATTTTTAGTCCTGAATCTGACTTCATTGATTTCTGAACAACCAGCACACAGTATGAGAAAGAGGAAGAATCGTTTCTCCAAGATATTATTTCCTAAGTGTAACAGAGGAGGGGGTTGATTTAAAAAGCAAAAGGGGGGTTCTATTTCTCAGGCGGATCCCACCCTTCTTGAAAAAGCTGAGCATCATGCAGTGTTTGCCAAAAATGCTTTGAAGACCAGTGTCTTTCTTATGCAAGCAGATTTTTCCCCCCTCCTCCTCCTTTCGGCCATTATTTCAATCATGGGTGTTTTGTTTTGCTTCATTTTTGTTCTTAACTTTTCCCTTTTGGAGTGATGAACAGATTGAATGAAACAGATAATTAAGGCTGAAACTGGGTGAATGTATTTCTTTGCTCCAGAGTCATGCTGCAATGCTGGAATAACATGTCTTGCAGTCAGACTGCTAAACTGGTGTGCCATGTCTGCTGTGTGGTAGTGTGAATGTAAATGACACAGTGGCTTTCCCATTTCCACTTCTCTTTCCTTATGGAGATGTGATGAGTTTGCTAGATCTAGGTCAGGTTTGCCTGCCCTCACTTGTTGTCTAGACTTGGTGGCAGACAGCTGAACATGTAAGTTGAGTTCATGGAAAAGTCTTCTATCTGATCCTGGATGAATAGACCAACTTTTGCTACTCATTTTTTTCAGGTGATGACCTACAAACATCATGTCGGAGGTCCAGGGAACTATCAACTTTTCTGTGGAGCTGCACAAATTCCATAATGTTGATCTCTTTCAAAGAGGGTGAGTCCATTTCTCCAGGCAAAAGTCATGAATAAGAAAGGCAGAAAGCCCTTCCAATAAGTCCAACCTAGATCCAGCGTCATCCAGAGCAACAGTCGTTGGCTTCAAAATGACAGGCACGACCAGGTGGTCAAAGCTGTACACATGTAAAAAGGGGCAGAGCTTCAGGTCCAGCATTCTGAAGCAACTTTAGACCAGTGGAGGAAATTGGAGGAAGGAGGTGGGATGTAAATCTCATAACTAAACAAACAAAAAATAGCTCAGTGCTGCAATGATTAAGCATGCGTGGTGACCACAGAACACTGACTACCTACAGAGGAGAAAAAGAAATTGAAACTAAGAGAAAGGGGAAATAGGATGGAAGGACTACAAATTTCCATAGCAACACTCCATGGTGCAACATTTGGTTGCAGGTTCTACTCATAATCCTTAAATTGGGAAATATAATAATCTGTGGTTGTTGTTTCCCTCCCCTGCTTAGTTGGCAATAGAAAACTAGGTAAAGTCAGGGGTGAACATCCTTCAATTCCCTTTTTTTAGAAGTGGTGGGGTCACCTCTGACCACAATTATTAATGTGGGGAAGAATGGGAAACACTTACACATTGTGTTATCAGCTCTAAAACAAGGCTTCATACATCTTAAAAGGATTCCCAGATTCCCTTCCAAAACCCAAGCCCTCCCACCAGAAAAACTTTCCTCACTCATTTTGTATCATCCCATTCCATGAAGACTCCCAGACACTCCAAACATGTATGGTCCATCAAGTGTTTGCCTACCTCTGAACCAGACAGACCATTAGCACAGGTTCCTACTCAGCTGTAGAATCAGGATAATAATCAATTCAGGAAACACTCTTTACCTCCATGGAAATGCTACTTACTACTCATTGGGATATTTTTGGAGGATTTACTCCAGGAACCATTTATGAATGAAGATGAGATGGGAGGGGGCCTTCTTAGTAGTGACTTTCCAGTTTTAGATCATTCTTCCAGAGAGTCTTGATTGATATTGCACAACTGCTTCTGTAGCCAATCAAATGCATGGATATCAAAACTGGGTTGCAGAACTTTTGGGTAATTAAAAGATGGTGCCAAATAGTTTTAAACTCAAATGGTGATTTTTTAAAAACTTTACTTGATGCTGATTTTATGCCACTCATTAACACCACTTTAGCATAAAGCATCTGTGTAGATGAGCATGCAAGGGAGAAAAAAATCCAAAATTTAATAGCAGTACTTTTCTTAAGAGAGCCAGTTTGGTGCAGTGGTGAAGGCATCAGGCCAGAAATTGGAAGACCGTGAGTCTAGTCCTACCTAGGCACAAAGCCAGCTGGGTGACCTTGAGCCAGTCAC